ACAAACATTTGTGAAAGGATGGGTTGCTTTTTGGAGCTCAGTGAATTCCAGCATGGATGCCACCTGTGCAACAAATCCAGTCGTAAAATTTCCTCGCTCCTGAATATTCCACAGTCAACTGTCATCTGTATTATAAGAATGTGGAAGTGTTTGGGAATGACAGCAACTCAGCCACGAAGTGATAGGCCACGCAAACTTGTCCAACATCAGTGTGTTACCTCACAAATGGGCTTCTGAAAATGGTCACAAATTCCCAGAAACACACTCCTAAAAATTGTGGACAGCCTTCCCAGAAGAATTGAAGGTGTTATAGCTGCAAAGCATGGACCGATGTCATATTGAATCCTATGGATTAGGAATGGGATATCACTTACAGTAAGTTCATATGTGAGTAAAGGCAGATGAGCGAATACTTTTGGCAATATAGTGTACGTCTCCTCATTCCTTATTCAGCATCTTAACCACTATCTCATGTCAGCTGCCAAATGAATTTTATTTATGATTAGCATAATTTTCAAATAGAACTTTTTAACATTTACTACATTTTCAATATTTTAATGAAGTTGCAAAATGAGATACTTGGAAGTAATCTGCATTCTGGGCGAGAATTAATTTACTTTCTTTTGAGGTCCTTGGTTTTGCCAGCTTTCAGTTCAACTGTTCAGAAGTTCATAGAATTTCTTTATAACCAAAATTGTTCTTGTCTTTAAATATCTTTAAATCACTAAGTGTAAATTACATTATTTGACCTACAATACTGCAGTGCAACTATACTTATAGAAAGTTTTGTTCATTCTGATGTACATCTAATGTCTGTCTTAAAAACATTACAGTTTCAACAGTCATGTGATGAGGAAGATAGAAGTGATAGTCATAATACCGAAGAACAAGTAGAACAAGAACAAAAAGAAAAACATCAACAAAAAAAGAAATGCTATCTGTCTCATTACTCACTTAATGTTAGTTACATTGTTGAATTGTCAATCTTCCCCACCTTTGGGGGTGGGGGAGAGAGAAATGAAGCTCTTATTGTCTCTTTCTAAAAATTCTTTAAATGGCAAAATTCTATTTTGCAGTGTCTGCAATGTGAAAGTTTGATGTGGAAATAAGAAGCTTTGATTTCATAAACTTAGGAATAAAATGTCTGTCTTCATATCAAAGGATCAAAAAATGCCTGATGAGGAAGCGACTTATACTAGCAGTGATGATGACCATGAAAAAGTCCATGATGAAAACAAAGATTGTGAAAAAGAAGAGAAAGAACCAGATGCAGCAGAATATTATGAAGATCAAGCTCTCGATGAGGAGGAACAAAGCAGTCTACTATGTGAAAATGAAGAAAAGAACCTTACAACTGTGGAAACAACAGAGGTAAATATTTTGTTCATTTTCAGTACTGAATTTCTTTGGAATTATAACAGTTACCTTTTCGAAGAATAATATAGACCACAGTGTAAGATATTGTTATTAAGGTGACCAGACGTCCCGCTTTCAGCGGGACAGGGACGCTTTTCTACAATTTGTACTGCATCTCGCGGTGTTCTTAAAAAGTCCTGATTTTTTTTAAGAATGGGCGCGGGGGTTGGGGCAGGAACTTACACGGCGCGGCCAGCGTCTTTGACATGTTTGGGGACCTCGCAAGGCCTTTGCAAGGCCCCCAGACTTGCCCAAGATGCCAGGCCTCCAAAAAGAACGGGGGTGGGGGCGGGAACTTACACGGCGTGGCCAGTGTCTTTGACATGTTTTGCGGCGGCCACACTCGGTCCCCAAGCCATCCCGTGCCGCGTTCTGCTTTTTCTCCCGAAAGCGATGGTGGGATCTCAGGGGCTATTATTTCCTAGTGCGGGCCAGGGACACTGAGTGGGTTGCTCGCATCGGGACTGAAGGGACTTTTTAATAT